CCCGTGCGCAAAACGACAGCTGGGGGATTCGGGGGGGACAAATTATTGCACTCTGCTGGACCCCTACGACCCCCACTCCACCATGGGGGTTTTTTCGGGGGTGCGCCAAGCCCTGCGGTCACCCCTAATGCTCTAATTGCCTGGACTGTGTCATCCCTTAAGCAGACGACACAGAGCTCACCGCCATTAGTCTCCACAGCAAATGAGGCTTAGATTGGATTATTGATGAAAAAATTAATAAAAAATGATTTAAAAAGAGAATGCTACTTGCCCAATTAAAGTGGCTTAGATTGGATTCTTATGAATGAAAAAAATAAAAATATATATTTCAAAGAGAGAGAGAACACTACTAGCCCAATTAATGGGGCTTATAGTGGATTATCATCATCATCGTTATAATTATTATTATTTTTCCAGGCCTTCCCATGTCTACAGAGCCCAGAACGCCCGGGACAGTTACCTTCTCAAAATGATGAATCGCCAGCCAGATTTCCCCTTGCGCGTTGAACACGCAGCCGAGGTTACTCCACGCCACTGCAAAGTTGGGCTGGGTCTCGATGGCTTTCAGGTAGCAGGCCTTGGGGGAGTCGAGGGGCAGTAGGTACAGGGGGAATGGGATATTTGCACAAAAGAAAAGCAAGAAAAAAATTCCCATTAGTCCCCCTCCTCTGACCGGCCAAAAGTGATCCTGCAGTAGAGGCTCGCTCGCGCCAAAACTAGCCTGCTGGCAGATGGAGCTGCGCTGGCGCAAACCAGGACCCAAGTGCAAATCCACCATTATCAGTTACGCTGAACCTTCAATATATAGCAATTCTTTCCTAGCGAGCAATTCCTCAGCCAAGTCCAGAGAAGCTGCTTTCGGATTCGCAACTGGCTTGCGATACGCCACCGTTTGGATTGCGACGCAGTTTGGATAGCATCCCGACTGAGGTCTAGTAGCTCTTCAGATGACCTGTGGGCCTGTCTCTCCCAAATATTGTCCAGTTAAGTCAAAATTGCAATGGTGCCTTGGTTCTCAAACGCCGAAAACCCGGAAGCGTTAAAATTCTTATTTTACAGAAAGGTTCAACCTTGCTGGCATCCTCTTTATATGGAAATATAATAAAACTTTTTTATTGAAAATGCCTGCTCCATAGGTCTTATCTTACTACACTAGGGATTATATATAATGCAATTTCATGCATATCAGTTAATATCTTGACCCTGCTCCACTGAATTGAAATTTCAGCCTTCATGACATAGGAAAACGGCCAAGTAAGCAGCTCTTTTCGTGGAGGAGGGTCAAGATATTAACTGATATCCATGACATTTCAGAAACAGCTATATAATCCCTAGTGTAGTAAGATAAGACCTTTGGAGCAGTTTTTTATAAACTGCCCTAATGGACAAGGGCAGGTTTCCTTTTGAGAATCATAAAATTCCTGCTACTCAATCACATTGCTTTCCGAACGTTTCGGAAGTGCCACGGACTTCTGGAATGGATTAAGTTTGGTGCTTTTGTTTTTGTAATTTATTTTGTGCTTTTGTTTTGGAGGCTTTTTCAATTACTTTGTTTTTGTGACTGTGTGGAACCCAGTTCAAATACTGATGGACTGATTGTTTGACTGCGGAAAGGGATCAAAGCCCCCCATCCAAACAATGACTATCATCAGTGCAGGTAAGGAAAAAAATTAATTTTAATTTTTATCATCTACAATACTGTTTTATTTATTGTATAATACAGTACATTATTGCTTTCAATTCATGGATCAATGGTCTAGTTAGATAGCAAAATTCGTGTTCAATGGCTGTTTTAGGGGTTGTTTTTAAAAGCCTGGAACAGATGGCTCCATTTTGCATTCCTTTCCATGGGAAAGAACGTCTGGGTTTCGGAACAGATTCAGTTTGAGAACCGTGGTACCCCTTTTACAGAAAGGTTCAGCCTTGCTGGCGTCCTTGGTTTCGGAATGCTTTGGTTTCAGAAGGGACTTAGTTTGAAAACCAAGGCACCACTGCAAGTAGAAATTAAATTAGAAGATCCAGGGTACCGCACGAAAGACACGGTCTCTCTCTTTCTTTTCAAAGAACAAAAACTTGGCTCTCTGACCCTGAACTCACCTGTCCAGGATGCACACCTGAATGTTACCTTCACAACCTCAAATGACAGCTCTGTACAAAGGTCCCGGTCCCTGCAATGCGAGCGCGAGAAGTCGCCAGCGCCCCCTAACAGCACGCCGCTCGCACCCTCACTGCCAACCGCCGCGCTTTGCCGCAAGGCCCATGGGTACTGTGAGAGGCCAACCAGACCGATTCATCTCCCGGACAGGCCTGCATGAAAACTGGGGGCGGGGGTCTTAAATTTGTGCCGGAAAACTCGATGCATCGCAACCCAATTTCGTCAAGAGGCCTAGAGGAGCCGCCCGGGTGGAGATGAATCATCTAGTCCACCATTCACAAGGGCCCCATCACACGCAGTGCGCATTTCCGCTGCGCCGCCTTTGCGCTACCACAGGACCACAGCGCGTCATCGGCAGAGCAGAATGCTGCAATCCAAACAAAGAAGGAAAAAAGGATAAAAAAAATGAACCACCAGGAAGAGTTAGATGCTTTAATTAAGTCCTTTCCCAATTATCTCTCGTAAATCTTAAGGTACTTTTTTTACGTTTATTTCTCGGAAAGAAACGTGGCTAGGACTATCAATTGCTCTCTCGTACAGAAAATATTTAAGCAGTTTCCAAAGCCACAGGACAGAATATTCAGGCACGGAGCAAATGTTTTTTGTCGTGGCAGTTACAAACCCGTTACCATATTTCTCATGTGGGTTTTCGGTGCATTCCTTCCTGGAAGAAGAGGAGGAGGAGGAGAGTCTCTGCTTTAGATCCAGCCCTCGAGCTCCCTCTCCTTACGCATGGAAAAGGTTTCCCCCACCTGAAACCTTCTAAATGTAATATCAGTGTTGGAAAACCAAAAACGAGAGAGAAAATAAAACAAGATCATTAGTAAAAAGTTCCAACAAAGCAATCGATAATCTCTGGGTATGTCTTAACACAGGGGGGTGGAGGGCGGTTGGTCTGTAACGGGGGGGGCATGCAGAAGGGAAAGGGGTTAATGGGGGGGCAACAGCAAACTGGAAGAAAGGCTCCGAAACTCCTGCAACAATTGTATTTCAATTCAGGTGGTAAAGATTGTACTGGTTTGGTCTTGCAAATGCACTGATGGCCAAAGAAATACATTGCCGTTTGTCCAGAATATATATAGATGTATTCCCCCCCCTGGTTTAATGGAGTTCTTGCAAAAAATGGAATAACACTTTCAAGCTAGGCGTGTCTCTCCAGAGCTCTGAAACAAAGAAGTCAGCAACCTAAGGCAGGTGCGATGTCTCGGCCGGTGACCAATCACGCTAGAAGCCGTGGTGGCGTGCGATTCGAGTTAGCTGTCCGCCTGGTGCTTTGGAGAAGGCGTTTGGATGCCCCCACCCCATTCAGAGTCGACGCAATGGGGCTGGCCGGAGCAGCTGCCTGCCCAATCGGTGCTTGGAATTTGTCCGTTCCCAGAACCTGAAAGTGGATTCTCCCGAAAAGCAGGCTTTCTCCTCTCCCCACCCACCCCCCGCCCTGAACGGCAACCAGTCGGAAGCTACACTGTTGACGCACCCCACTCAGAAGCAGGCGCGTGGGGCTGGAAGGGAAGGACCTCTGGCGCTCCTTCTCGTTCCTCCGTGCCCCAGCAGCACAGCTTTGTAAGGTGGCTCGTAACAAGGCAATTTCGGGTCCCGTTTGAAAGCCCCCGCTTGGCGGAGAGCCGTTTTGGGGTTCGAATTCTCGGCTGCAAACCGGACTGCTAGAAGCCACCTTCCCTCTCTCGGCCGCACATTTTTCTTTGATCAGCTCATCTCCCGAGCAAACCAGCCACGTCACTCAACCCTTTGGACAAAGACAGATTGTTCGAAAGAAGCAAACCAGGACCAGGACTGTTTGCCAGCCTTTCTTCCACTATGGAGACGGGGGCGGGAAAAGGTTAAAGAATCATCTTTTTTTCAATGCCATATTCAGAAGGAAACATTCGATAAGGTTCTTCTCCACTTACAAGCCGCAAAGGACTTTAGAAGAGTGCCTGCTTCTCACAGGAACCGTGGACTAAGTCAGCAGGCAAGCCTCAGTTTGGAAGGAATGTTTCTTTCCAGATCAGAGAATGGTGGCGCCCCTGAGTCACATCACAATAGTGGGTAGTCTCGTTCTGCGGCAAGACTCAACGTCTTAAAACAAGTATTAATGGGGGCTTGCCAGATCTGGCCCCACAACTACGCTGGGGGAATTCAAGGCCTTCGGCTTCTCAGCCATTTCTCGGGAGTCTCGCAGATCAGCGGAGCATCGAAGACTTGGCGCAAGCGTTCACATTCTCAAAAGACTGATGTTTTAAAACTCATTCTACAGAACACCTACCTTGGCTTCTTCCAAGCGACCCAGGGCTTTGAGCAGATTCCCCAGGTCACTACGCACGCAGTACAAGTCCTGAAAATTAAATGCATTCGGTCAGTCCCCAAAAGAGGCAATAGTGACATCAAAAGATTATATACAGTGGGGCCTTGGTTCTCGAGCAGCTTACTTCCTGAACAACTTAGAACTCGAATGCTGCAAAGCCGGAAGGAGGTGTTCCGGTTTTTTAGCTTTGCCTTGGAAGCCGAATGGACTCCTGAGCTTCCATTTTTACTGTTGCGCAGCAAATTTTAGTCCTCCCATCATAATTAAGCGTTTTTTCATCCATTTTACGGGTACGCAGCAAATTTTAGTCCCCCCATCATAATTAAGGGTTTTTTCATCCATTTTACGGGTACGCAGCAAATTTAAGTCCCCCCCCATCGTAATTACCGTACTTTTCGCTCTATAGGACACTTTCCCCCCTCCAAAAATGAAGGGGGAAAGTGTGTGCGTCCTATGGAGCGAATGCAGGCTTTCGCTGAAGCCTGGAGAGCGAGAGGGGTCGGTGCGCACCAACCCCTCTCGCGTTCCAGGCTTCAGGAAGCTATCCGCAAGCCTGCGGAGCCCGGCGGGAACTCCCACCAGGCTCCGCAGGCTTGCGGACAGCTGCCTGCAGCCCAAAGCCCGGGCTGTGCACCTCGGGCTTCGGGCAGCTCTCCGCAAGCCTGTGGAGCCCGGCGGGAGTTCCTGCCAGGCTCCCAAGGCTTGCGGATAGCAGCCTGCTGTCCTCGAAGCCAAAACAGCGAGACGGGGCGCTGCGCAGCCCTCCATCTCGCTGTTCCAGCTTCGGGAGGGCTGCGCTGTGCCTTCACCCCGCCGAGGCTACAAAGGATGTCCCCGAAGCCTCAAGCCTTTGGAGTGCAGCTGAGCTCCAAAGGCTTCAGGGATCTTTAAGGCTGGCGGTGGGGGAAAGCAGCGCTTCCCCCCACCGCCAGCCCCACAAGCTCGGGGGGCAGCGGCAAGGCCTGCTCTTGAACACACCTTGTTTTTGAGGGGAAAAACAAGGGAAAAAAAATTCCTATTCTCCCCCTCCTATGGTCCGGTGTGTCCTATGGTCCGGTGCGTCCAATAGAATAAAAAATACGGAAAGTTTTCCCCCATCCCGTTTGCATCCTTGAGCAGCTAATTTAAGCCCCCCCCCCCCCCCGCCATCGTAATTGAAGCCTTCCATTTCTGATTGCAGTGTTCTGAAGCAATATTTGGTGCTTTTGTTTTTGCTATTTTTTGCATTTTTGTTTGTGTGGCTTTTTCATTTTCCTGACTGTGGCTCATTTTGCATTTTATGGTTGATTGATTGATTGTATGACTGCAGAAATGGATCAAAGCCCCCTATCCAAACAATGACTATCATCAGTGAAGGTCAGGAATTTTTTTAAATTTTTTTAATCATCTATGGTACTGTCTTATTTCTTTTATAGTACAGAACATTGATGAATGCTTTCATTTTACGGATCAATGGTCTCATTAGATAATAAAATTCATGTTAAATGGCTGTTTTAGGGGTTGTTTTTATAAGTCTAGAATGGATTAATCTGTTTTGCATCACTTTCTATGGGAAAACCTTGGTTTTGGAACACTTTGGTTTTGGAACGGAGTTCTGGAACGGATTCAGTTTGAGAACCAAGGGACCACTGTATATAGAGATTGTACTGTCTCTCATTATCTTCATCCTTTGTATGCTTGGTTCCTTTAAACATCAGAATCTTGCGGAAACGGACAGGTCTTGAAAACACCACCAAGAATAACACAGCAGATTCAACATGGGGACAAAGTCAGCCCCACTTAAGACCCCCCAAAGTGCTGCCCCAGATTAATATATGTGGCTGTATGTTCTCTGCTCTTCCTGGACTGGTACCAACAACGGGGGAGACACAAGCAATGAAAGGAGAGTGGCATAGATGGGCAGTTTCAGGTGGATAGCCATGTTGATCTGTGATAGTTATAAGAAATAACAAGTTGAAAGATGAACAAATCTTTTTTAATAACTCCAGTGGCACCTTAAAGATCAACTAAATATAAGCTTTCAATGTATGAGCTTTGACCTGAACCCCCCCAAAACGGAGGTAGATCACTGTCACTTTTTTATTTTGTAAGTAGATTGCAGTCTCTTCGGAGTTGGCCGTCCCTGATATACAATTAGAAGATGGGGAACAGTTATGGAAAGAGGGGATTAATTTGACAGCTTGCAGTTCGCTGAAAGAAAATGCTATGGCCTCTTTTAAGGCAGAATACTCTTCCTCAGGGCAAATAGGGGTTGCCTGAATCGTGAATGAAAATGACCGCGTATTAAGGAAATGTATTCTGGCAACCTCCCTTTTGCAATTTTTTGAGACTTCAACTGACCGCTTTTGACACCCTTCCGGTGCAAACTGGGCACAGGGCCCTCTTACAACCAGTAACTCATCTAATAGTCGAAATAAATAAATAAAAACTGAGTATCTGACGAAGTGTGTATTACACACGCAAGCTCATACCTTGAAAGCTTATATTTAGTTGATCTTTAAGGTACCAAAGGAATTATTTAAAAATATTTTTTTCATCTTGTTATTTATTATGATAGATGGGCAGTGTAAGCCATCACCTGGGCACTTGTTTAAGAGTGTTTAAAAACGGTCTTTCAAATGGGCAGAGCAAAAGCGATCCCGTACTTCTATGCATCAGCAAACCAGCTTCAAAAAAAAACTAGGAAACTACTGAGGGGAGTCCAAGCCTTGAGACACAGGCACAGTACCACTATACTGCAGTACCACTACAGCCTCGAGAATAACTAAGAGACTTAAAAGATAAATGTAGAGGACCCCGACAGTAAAGTCCAGTCACTAACAACTCTGGGGTTGCGGCGCTCATCTCACTTTACTGGCCGAGGGAGCCGGCTTTTGTCCACAGTTTTTTCCAGGGTCATGTGGCCAGCACGACTAAGCCGCTTCTGGCAAAACCGGAGCAGTGCACAGAAACGCTGTTTGCCTTCCCGCCAGAGCAGCGCCTATTTATCTCCTTGCACTCGGACATGCTTTCGAACTGCTAGGTCGGCAGGAGCTGGGACCGAACAACAGGCGCTCGCCCTGTAGCGGGGATTCGGACCGCCGACCTTCTGACTGGCAAGCCCAAGAGGCTCAGTGGTTTGCACCACAGTGCCACCCGCGTCCCACTTCCGAGGAGACTTGGACATTTCGGAATACGAAGAGCCAGCTGCAAAGCTTTCGAATCTGAAAACGGAATTGCTTTCGGAATCGCGCCGGTTCAAAGCCACGACTTAGGTTTCGGAGAGAACTCTGCCTTCTCCCGGCGGAATTCAACTTACAGGGTTGTACTGCAAGGCAGAGACATAGGCCTGCACCGCTCCTTCCATGTCGCCTGCGGCAACTAAAGCAGCGGCGAGGTTGATGTATCCATCAATGAAGTCCGGCTTGAGGCGCAGGGCATGCCGATAGTGCTCAATTGCCTCCTGCAGTTGGCCCCGTTCCTTGTACACGTTCCCCAGATTTGAGTAGGCTTCGGCCAGCAGCGGGTTCTGCTTGATTGCCAAAGTGCTGAAGTGAGCCGACCTGCGGAGGGGGAAAACGCAAGATTGTCTGGCATTTAATCTAATAGGTACTTACTATCTATCTATCTATCTATCTATCTATCTATCTATCTATCTAAAGGTAAAGGGGACCCCTGACCATTAGGTCCAATCATGACCGACTCTGGGGTTGCGGTGCTCATCTCGCTTTATTGGCCAAGGGAGCCGGTGTACAGCTTCCGGGTCATGTGGCCAGCATGACTAAGTCGCTTCTGGCAAACCAGAGCAGCACACGGAAACACCGTTTACCTTCCTGCCTATTTATCTACTTGCACTTTGATGTGCTTTCAAACTGCTAGGCTGGTAGGAGCAGGGACCGAGCAACGGGAGCTCACCCCTGGGGATTTGAACAGCTGACCTTCTGATCGGCAAGTCCTAGGCTCTGTGGTTTAACCCACAGCGCCACCCGCGTCCCCATCTATCTAACTATATATATATAATATTTCCTCTTTTATAACAAATTACAATCAACAATGATTCAATTTTACATTCCCCCCCCCCCCGGCGACTTCCCTCATCTTCCCTTTCTGGTTTGTTACAAACATTGTTTTCTGCATGTTGATGTACTTTAAATATTGTTACCTTATCTTCCTCCATATTTTAATTAAATAAAATTGTGAATGTTTATTCAAAATCTGCCAGACTCCATTTCTTTATGTTGTTTTTGTAAATAGGTTGTTAAAGATTCCCATTCATTTTTAAAGTCTCTATTGTCTTTTTCATGCAATTTATCTGTTAACTTTGCTAATTCTGCATAGTGCACCAGTTTTTCTTGCCACAGATCTTTCGTCGGTACTTCTTCAGTCTTCCAACCTTGAGCTAATAAAATTCTTGCCGCTCTTGTAGCATACATGAATATTTTCCATTTCTTTTTTTGGTAGTTCATGGGCTGAAATGCCTAGCAAAAAAGCTTCTGGCTTTTTAACAAATGTCATTTTGAACATTTTTTTTCAATACATTATATATCATTTCCCAAAAGTTTTTAACTATTTTACATTCCCACCACATACGACAAAAAGTGCCTTTTCTAATAGGTACTTTCAACCCGCTTTGGTACCATCACATTATTTGATGGTGTACAGAAATGTACAGAACTTCAGCACAAAACCATTATTCCTGGCTTGACGCAAACAAATTCTGCTTGAGTGGTGGGAAAAGTAACTTGCATTTTGTGCAACCTGACAAGATGCCCACTCTTTTCATCTGGGCCCATTAGGAGTTCCAGATTTTGCCAAATTGGCAAAAATGACCGAAAGAATCAGAAATCAGGAAGACCAAAATTTCAGTAAGGAATGGGGGAAATATATAATTTATCTTAAAAACCATTGTAGACAGCTAGAATCATGGGTAGGCAAACTAAGGCCCGGGGGCTGGATCCGGCCCAATTGCCTTCTCAATCAGGTCCATGGACAGTCTGGGAATCAGCATGTTTTTACATGAGTAGAATGTGTCCTTTTATTTAAAATGCATCTCTGGGTTATTTGTGGGGCATAGGAATTTGTTCATTTTCCCCAAAAAATATAGTCGTCCCCCCCAAGGTCTGAGGGACAGTGGACCGGCCCCCTGCTGAAAAAGTCTGCTGACTCCGGATGATTACGACACTTGTAGATTAATGTTGAATTCTGGACCTAACAGAGATCATAGAATCATAGAATCATAGAGTTGGAAGAGACCACAAGGGCCATCGAGTCCAACCCCCTGCCAAGCAGGAAACACCATCAGAGCACTCCTGACATATGGCTGTCAAGCCTCTGCTTAAAGACCTCCAAAGAAGGAGACTCCACCACACTCCTTGGCAGCAAATTCCACTGTCGAACAGCTCTTACTGTCAGGAAGTTCTTCCTAATGTTTAGGTGGAATCTTCTTTCTTGTAGTTTGGATCCATTGCTCTGTGTCCGCTTCTCTGGAGCAGCAGAAAACCACCTTTCTCCCTCCTCTATGTGACATCCTTTGATATATTTGAACATGGCTATCATATCACCCCTTAACCTCCTCTTCTCCAGGCTAAACGTGCCCAGCTCCCTTAGCCGTTCCTCATAAGGCATCGTTTCCAGGCCTTTGACCATTTTGGTTGCCCTCCTCTGGACACGTTCCAGTTTGTCAGTGTCCTTCTTGAACTGTGGTGCCCACAACTGGACACAGTACTCCAGGTGA